ATTCAGCAACTTGCAATGGGTTTCCCAATCAGCAGTGCAAATTGGCAAGGTTCTGCTCTGTCGTTAAAATCCGCACTGCAGCTGGAAATCAGTCCCTCTTTTGGCCATATTATAACCGCTGTGCTCTATTTCACAGCTGCAACATGGTCGATCTGAAATATGACCTGTAAACGATTCAAAACACCAAGATAACTTGAAAAGCCGACTTAAACAAGACTGCAGTATGCAAAGTAAGTAAGCGATGATTGGCAACAGAGCCGAGCAAAATTTTTCGCCTGAAACATTTTTTGGCACAAAATGCAGACACTGAAATGTCACATCAATTCATGTTGATTTTGTCGAATTGTTCATTTAGGGGGGAAAAAAACTTCTGAAAAAAATCAAAATGTTTTGCTGATATTTTGGAAATGAAACATTCTGATTTTTTTTGGGTTCAAAACAACTTTTCATGTTGAAATTTCCATTAATTTTATTTTAATATTCAAAACCATTAAAAATTGCCAAGTTCAAAAAAACATTTGTTTGACCAGAAAGTTTTTTTTCCGACTTTTCAATTTGCCAAAAATTTTCACTTTTGATCCAACCTGAAATAGTCCCCCCCAAAACTTTTTGAAATGGCCAACAAACCGAAAAATCCATTGTTCACCCCACTGTAATTGACAGTTCCTTATGAGGTCACAATCCCACCACCCAATCGCTGTAGAAAACTGTCTCAATATTACTTCCCCCACCTTGTCTCTCTTGAAATCAAACGGTAAGCTTCAAAAACAGCTAGAGTTTTTTCTATTTGATCAGTATTATTTGCACTATAGCAGCTCCTGGTGACCCCAACTGAGATCAGAGCCCCATCGTGCTAGGCACAGTACCGACACATGGTAAGGGACAGTCCCTTCCCGGAAGAACTTACACTCTAAATAGACAAGGAGGGAGAAAGGATTCCTATCCCCATTTAGCAGCGGAGACAGGAGTTGAATCTAGATCTTCGGAGGCCCAATGCCTCTGTTTAGCCTATTGCCCTAGAATCTTACCAAGAAAAAATTGCATGAGGACAACGTTATGCCTCACTTTAAATGTGTAACTAGAACCTGGCCTTCCAATGGAAGCTGGTACAGGTTGCTGTCTTTGTTCGGGACCTCCTGGCCTTCCCTTCCCTTCCTACCCTGAGCCTCCCTAGAGAGCAGCCTGCATCACACCGGCTCCTTACCGCCTCGCTGCGGGATCACTTTGCCCTCTCCCTATCCTGGACCTCTATCCTGTGACAAGATTGGGGCCCAGTAAAGCTCTAGCAAGACAACTGGTTTTCCTCATCCATGCCAGGTACTTTGACCCTGCATGGCTGGATGGAAGCACTCAGGGCCATGTTCCAAGGGAAGTTGAAACAAGAGCCCCTGGAGCAGGTGTCTCCAAAGCACCTGCACATGCTCGCAGAACAATTGCACTCCTGGTGGAGCAGATAACCAGCTGTCAGGTCCCTGAGAGCACACCCACCTTCCGATCCTGCCACACCATTACCGAGAGCCAGGTGTTTCCACGGCACCTTGAGAGATGCTTCATGGGTAGCTTGCTCCTTGAGGCCAGCACTCCCTTTCCTGGACAAGCAAGGGGTCACCCATCAACCAGGGCCTGCTGCTGCTGCAAGATTCTGAGTCCCTTCATCGCTCATTGATGTCACTTACTCAGTCCTTACTCAAGCAAACTTCCTTTGAAGTCAATGACCCAAACCCAGAGGGGCAGGAGCAGAGCTCTGGCAGCTCCTCTTGAAATTGCTGGGAGTTTCATAGAATCATAGAATATCAGGGTTGGAAGGGACCTCAGGAGGTCATCTAGTCCAACCCCCTGCTCAAAGCAGGACCAATCCCCAACTAAATCCCCAACTGGCCCCCTCAAGGATTGAACTGTGCTGGGAAACAACGAGTGAGTAAAAACCTCAGCATTTGGCCCATTGACTTCCCTGGGGCCTAGGGGATACTACAGAGGTGAGATTAGATAGGTGCACAGACAGGCTTGGTTCCGCAGTGAGAAGACAGGGAGTTACTCTGAATTTGTAGCGTGTCCCTGAGCTCCGAATCTGGCCCATAGCGAGGTTGCTCTGTGAACCCTCTGATGATACTACAGCATGGTCCCACCATATCTCGAGAAATGGAAATTACATTTTTTCCAGTATAGGAAATCAGTCAAGCTTCATTTCATCCCAGTTCCATCTCAGGCACTAACTGTTCTGGGCAGCTTCATTCCGCTAGCCTTGAAATGGGGAAGCTAGTTTGAACATATTTTTGTGAGCAATACAGACGCGATGATGCTATCTGGCCTGGTCATTGTAATAAGTGACTCTGGTGGTTTCCCACTGCTCTCCCCAGCACAGTCATATCCTGAGCAACCGTGAGACATTTCCACTGCCAGAGGGGTAGCATGACAATCCGAGCACGCCCACCGTGGTAGCTGGACTGTGCAACTAACGGTAGTACAGTCTCCCTGTGAGACAGGTCTGCTTTGAAAGCAAGATCTAATCTAATACTATTGCATTTCAAAGCCAATGCGAGGGATTTCAAATCAATTCATTGCGTTCGGTGACAGATGCGGGGGCTGTGGTGGTAATGACTGGTATGAAATATTTTCACCTTCAAAGGGAAGTTCCAGAAAGGCCTGGACATGTTTGTAACAGGGAGAGAACTCTGCAGAAGGCAGTTTTACTGTCTGTCCAGTCGGGTCTGGAATCTGAAAGCTCGGTAGCAAGGGGTGTGTGAATATTTGTGTGTGTGTGTCAGTCTGGATCCAGTTCTCGCAAAATGCCTGTGCGGTAGAAAGAAACACACTGAGGGCATATTCAAGCCAGTCCAAACAGCCCCCAGGCTGTCGGTTCACTCCTGGATTTTCTGTTTTCTTTATCATCCTCCTTTCCTGCTCTCTTTAACCCCTTCCATGCAGGACACTCTGTTGGCGGACGAGCTCTGTGAATGACACCCCTTATGTACTCCAGCTCCAATTGATGTTCTGTGGTCCCAAAACGGCATTAGCAAGGGCTGAGCCTCAAAACTTTCTTTGTGCTTATCTGCACCTACGGAGGTGCCTTTCTCCCCTGCACCAGCTCCAGGGAAGCCTCATCAGACTCTGCATCCCACTTGCCCGTCCCCAGTCTAAGTCTTGCTTTCACTGCATCCCTATTTCTTCCCCATCTCCCCCACTCCCTGATCCTTCCTCCTGTCTTGGCTTTTTAGATGAGCTTCCCACACCTTTACCAGCTCCTCTGTTGGGCCCCAATACAGAGCCCTCCGCTGGCCATCTGAGATTTCCCTCTCCGCAGCTTCTTGCCGAAGGTGCATTGAATGGACGTAGCAGGGAAGCGGTATCCTGAGCTGAATGCCAACAGGGGGGCATGTGGGTGACACCTGCAGATGCCATCCCTCACCTGTTCACTTCCATCACTTGCATTTGGAAGTGTTTTTGGAGGAGGAGTGGGGCAGCCCTACCTCTGTATCCTATGCTCCGTCCCTACAACACAGAACCAGCTCGTTATTTTAATAGGGCCAAGCCCTGAAGCTCTTACTCAGGTAACTCTCCCATTGGGCCAGATCCTGAAAGTGCGCTGAGCACCTGCCAATCCCACTGACGCCAAGGGGTGCTGTGTCTGCGGAAGCCGCTCAGGATTTGGAGAAGGAAGAAAGGAGGATTTCTGCTCCCCGGGAAGTGATGGGACCCAATGGTCTTTGCCCATCTCTCCTGTGGCATCAGCAAGGAGCGGCGCCATCTCCCCTTGAAGGCAGCCTGTGATAGGCCAGTGATGTGACAGGAGGACAGGACTCTCCCATCGTGTTGCAGTAGCAATTCTACCGCATGGCATTTCTCATCCTCTCATTTCATCTCATTCCCGTTCCTCCTTCCCTCGCCTTCTACCTTCATCCCCGCACCACTCCAGAGAGACATCACGCCTCCTGGCAGCCTGGCTGCACACAGGGACAGCTCACATATTCTACGGGATTCTGAAGTGGGAGCAAGGGCCTTTCGCGGTTGGGATAGATATCGACCCTTTCACACATCCAGGATCCGGCAGAGGGGGAGAGGAGCCACAGATAATCCATCGGCCGCATTTACTTCACCCCTTCCCTCCTTGGGTGGGAGGGCGTCCGTATCTGGAGCGACTGGCAGCTGGGAGCATTTTTTACAGGGACAAAGACCAATAAGTGTGCCCAGCAGGACAGCTTGGCCTCTCTACCAGCTCCCCTTCTGCCTAGTCACAGAATTGACCATGTACCCCACAGGAAAAAGAAAGGGGAGCTGGTAGGGAGAAGGGGATCAGCTCACCCTCTCCAGCCTGCACACAGGGTCAGTTTTATTTCTCTGGTGGCCTCAGACAGCGGAATCCAGAGTCCTTCTGCCCAGAGCTACACTGATTGGCTCCTCCTAGACCATCTGATATCGCTCCCCCTTATTGCCCAGCCCCTGGGTAATGAAAGGGATATTGTTCGGGGCAGGAGGGGGCTCACGCATCCTTCCCTGCAATAGGTAGGAGGAAATGCCTTGCAGTTACACATCCTTAGAGCTAAGCCCTTGAGCACACGAATGGCTACCAAAAGCAAGACCTGGCCAGCATCCCTCAGCCCAGCTAGGACAGTCCTGCTCCACGGACAGCATTTACAACTCACAGCCAGCTGCTGTGTCAGGGAGGAACGGGCAGTTGCATTTTGAGGGGTAGGAGGGAATGCCTTGCCTCAGTCTGCAACCTGAACTCCATGGAGTAACTCCAGCGGGGAGCTAGTCTATAGATGGAAGAAGAAGTTCCCGCAGTATCATTATTACTCTGATATCGCACTGTGCTTTCTCTTTCCCTTTCCCTCTGCCCGGCTTTCTTCCGCTCTTTCTCCCTGTCCTACTTTCCTTCTTCAGCAGGAAAACACCAAACATCTGATCGCCATGTGGTTTCCTCACCCGCTGTCTGCTCATCCGGAGCCAACCCCCAACCTTGTCTATTCGCCATCTCCCCAGCCCCTACCCTACTCACTTACCTGCTTCTGGAGAGCGAGGGCCCCAAGGCAGGGTGGGCACTGCCAGGCTGAGAATCTTCCTTCCCCGGCCACTTCAGCCTGCATCTCACAGAGCAACTGGGTCTCCTCTGTCTCCCTCGGCAGCCTGAGCAGGAACGGAGGAGGGCAGGGTGAAAAGGGGGGGAGAGGGGGAGGGGGGGAGAGAGGGGAGGGGAGGGGGGAAAGGAAACTTTAATAGCACAGAGCCCCTTTTGTTTCCAGCATATGGTATATTTCGGACATACTGAAGGCATTAGCCACCTATATGAAAGCGCTTACACTGGAATATAAATGCAGCCCGTATCTAGCTCTCCGGGAAAGCATTCCATCAGGGATCTGGAGCCTGGCAAAATCTAAACAGAAAAGGAAAAACGGGCAACTTCCAAAGCCATCAAGGTTTCTCTTTCACCTGGACACAGTTCTTCCGAGCTCTCTGGGGCTGTTCCCCGCTGAGCCAAATGATTGATTACTTTTAGCGGCGACGTCACCCCCCGAAGAGTAAGAGATCTGGAGAATTCCAAAGCAAAAGGGCCCCTGTCACAGACAGTGACCGCTGAATTACAGGGAGAGGTTGGAGTTTGGTTGTCCCATTGGGGCACTTGTAGAGTGAGCCAAACCCAAAGACTGCAGGCAAAGCGTGACAGGTGGTGGCAATGGAGCTGTGGTGGGACCCGGGGGACTATGCAGTGTTGGTGCCAAAGGAAAGGAAGTTTCCCTGTTACCCCCATTGTGTCTCAAAAGCCCTGTTGGACTCTCCAGAGGCCGTGTCAAATGACTTGCAGCTTTCAACAGCTCTAGTCACTCAACTGGTCTAGTAGGGAGGGGAGGAGGCAGAAGGGTGGATGACATATCTGCCGCTGGCCTAAAGCAATGTAGAGACAGGTCGGGAGTCATGGACCAAGTGGCAAAACCTTCCACGCTGCCCTCTCTTGCTCAGCAGGGGAATTTGCCTGCACCTGTCTCTTCTTCACTAGGGCTGTCCTTTAGGGGCTCGTCATAGAGAAGGCTGGTTTTGTGGCTGAAACAGGGGCCTGGGACTCAGGAGTCCCTGCTCTGCCTAAGACTTCAAGTGTGACCTTGGGCAAGTCACTTCATCTCTTTGCACCTCAGTCCCCTTTGGTACAATGGGATAATACTTTCTCTCCCGCTGTGTCTGCGGTCAATTGCAGCGGCGAGCTATTTGAGGCAGGGGACATCTCTTGCTTTGTATTCATACAGTGGCCTCATTTGGAGCCTCGAGGTGCTACCATGATACAGCCAATAATAAATAAATAATCATCTGTTTCTACATAAACCACTGGAGGTGTCAAAGGGGGCTGGGAGGAGTTCATTCATTCTGCAGTATCAGGGATGTCTACACTACACCCTAAACCCAGGCTGTGACTCAGGTTTGAGCCCTGGCCCCTCTTCTGTCCACACACAAATCAGGCCGACTTAAGTCAGCAAGCACTCAGGACATGGGACTTAGGGCCCGGGTAGAGAGAGGATCAGAGCCCGAGTCCCACAAGACTTGGGTCCAAGCCCTGGCATTTTGCAGTGTGGCTGCAGGTCAAGCCACAGACCTCACTCAAAAGGTCGGCGCACCCTGAAGTCTTTAAACCATGATTTGAGGATTTCAATGGCTCAGACACAGGTTTGATACAGGAATGGGTGGGTGAGATTCTGTAGCCTGCATTGTGCAGGAGGTCAGACTAGATCAGGGGTCGGCAACCTTTCAGAAGTGGTGTGCCGAGTCTTCATTTATTCACTCTAATTTAAGGTTTCGCGTGTCAGTCATACATTTTAATGTTTTTAAGAAGGTCTCTTTCTATAAGTCTATAATATATAACTAAGCTATTGTTGTATGTAAAGTAAATAAGGTTTTTAAAATGTTTAAGAAGCTTCATTTAAAATTAAATTAAAATGCAGAGTCCCCGGACTGGTGGCCAGGACCTGGGCATTATGAGTGCCACTGAAAATCAGCTCACGTGCCACCTTCGGCACGCGTGCCATAGGTTGCCTACCCCTGGTCTAGATGATCATAATGGTCCCTTCTGACTTTAAAGTCTATGATTCTATGACAGTGCAGCATGTGAGACCTGGGTCCCGCCATTGTGAGCCCAGGTTTAGAATGCAGTGTGGACACTCAAGCATGGGCTTGGAAATACAAGCTCAGGTCCCCCAGACTTCGGCTTAGCGTGCAGTGTAGACATGCCCTCCGAAGCCAGAGCTCCTCGTGTCAAAGTGCTTCTCTGGTGCTGAATCATTCTGGCCTAGTCACGGGAGGGGAAGAGTGAGCAGTTCGGAGCAATAGGCTGTTTGCACACAAATAGCTTGCTAATCAGCAGGCAAGGAGCAGAGAGATAGCACAGCCCAGGGCAATGGGAAACACACACTTCCTGATTTGGTTGTTTGCCTCTCTGTGGTGCGCTAACACAGTGGGGGCTGACGTGCAACTTAGGGTTCAAATGTGACCCATAGAATCATGCAAGGCAACACCCGGGAACCTTCCCCTTCAGCCCAGAGGAGTGCCCAGGGCAGAGGCCAGAGGTTCCAACAGGAAACGCCCCATCTCACTCCAAGCCGCAGGTGCAGGCAGTGCAGACTGGTGGTGCCGGAACGCCATGCTCCATGAACCAGTGCATGCTGGGATCTGGCAGAAAAACACGGATGGCTGCAATCAGCCCCAGTCCGTACAAATGAGGTGCACGCCCCGGGCTTCTGGCAAATGGCCAGCGTGGCCCTTGGATAGACAAACCTGGATATGACCATGCCAATGTCAGCTCAAGGCTTCCATCCCATCCCCCTGGCTGCCAAACCAACACCTAGCCAAAGGGGCATGAAACCGATCCAGTTTCCACAGGCAGCGCAGCAGGGCTCCCCTCTGCGCCAGAGTCCGAAACAGGGCGTCTCTCCCCCAGCATTCGTACCTGTGGCCAGGGCCGGGGGAAAGGCATTGAAATGAGAACGTCCTGATGAGCTCTGCGACTGGACTCAGGGGAAAGAGCATGTCGTCCCTGCTCCAGGACTGCAGCAAACTTCCAGACCCCAATACATCAGCAGGGCAAGCAACGGCCACAAGCCGCGCACGCTGGGCAGGCTGCGTGGTTAATTGGTACTTTGTCCAGCCATGAGCCTGTCACACTCCAATTTGAAATAAAGAAAAGCAGCCAGTAAAAAGCCTTTATAGCTCTTCAGAGCTCATAAACCTGCAGGGCTCTAGCAAGGGGCCACTTGATTGGGGGCAGCCAGGAAAATTGATTGCAGATTTTGGTAAGTTAAACATTACAGCATTGCGAGCCCCGAGGCCTGGTTTGCTGAGTGGACCCCCAGTGGCAGAAATTAAACAAGGGAAGCTTTATGGGTACGGTGGGCAGGGGGAAGGGACTCTCTTGTTTTCCCTCCTCCCACACCCCATTCTCATTTTCTCCCTTGACTAAGGTACAGCAGACTTGTGAGGGGGGCTTAGAGAATATATGCAGTGTGCAGAACATCTCTGGCAAAAAGAACAGGAGTACTTGTGGCACCTTAGAGACTAACAAATTTATTAGAGCATAAGCTTTCGTGGACTACAGCCCACTTCTTCGGATCCTATAGGAGGACAACCGCTCTGTTTGCCATCTAACCCTATTATAACTCCTCAGGTGGTGCGCCCTGAAGGGACACTCTCCCACACAACAGGAGATACACAAAATCACACAGACAGATCATGGTTTTGGAAGCTGTCTGCATCACCTTTGTCTGTTGTGATTTCCTCAGCAGCCTCTAACGTTTTCCATTGGGTTGTATTCCTTAAAGAGACCAGATGCTCTGGTTTAATTGGGACCATCCTGGTGTTTCCATCTGAGAGGCCATCAAGCTAAGAACCATTTCATTTCATCAGTCAAAGCGCTTGGGTGTTTGTGTGTTTATGAATAGCTACCAAATGTGTGTCACAACACCCATTGTTCAAGGCCAAAGTTTGGCCGGGCAACAACGTTGCAATGTGAGCCCAAGGGGGCAATGACCCAGCCTCCTAGTGTAAAACCCCTGCAGGGGTCAAGAATCAGGGCTGAAGGGGGGAGGGCACCTGGCTGCTACCAGAGCCATACAGAGGAGGGAATTTTGCTGTTCCAAGTGGCACTTTCCTGACCCAGGTGGGGCAGCCAGACTACGGAGCATTCTGGTATTCTGTGACCCTAAGAAACATTGCCACAAAAATGCTCTGGTTTTGGATTATGAAATAGGGTCACTTGAGCACCCCAGATCTTCATTCTCATCCAGCAGGTCTCTTTCCTCTGCAGTCTCCTCCCATAACCCCCAATCCCAGTGGTTCTCAAACCACGGTCCATAGAGCGATTCCAGGTGGAGCTGCGTGTGTCCGCCACAATGGGGAGACATTTGTCAGTCTTCAAGCAGCTTCCTGCCAGTGGTATCCTAGCCCTGAACTTTTAGGCTTCCCACAACGCAACTGGATTAATGTCCCAGTCCCCACCCTACATGGCTACTTCATGCCTTTCTTTGCCAAGTGTTTCTTTGGTGTGAAATTAACCAATGAGTAGGCCTGGTCACAAATTTTCCATCTCAACTTTTTTTTTTTTAATGGAAAAATTGGGTTTTTGTCAAAACAAATATTGCCCTGGGAAGCGTCTGCTTTCCTTGAAAATGTTTGATTTTCCGTCAGAAAACCATAAACCGCAAAACCGAACATTTGGGGTTTGGGCTGTATTCAGAGAAACGTTTTCCAGTTTTTAGGCAAATATTTTTTTTTGTTTTCAGCAGTTCTCGGCTGAACATTTACTGGGCTTTGGCAGTTTTCAGGCAAAAACTTTTGGGTTTGGAGTGCTTGGTTTTGTGACGAAAAGGCAGAATTTTCCGATGGGAAAAAAACAATTTTCCAAAAAGCTCCATTCACTAGTGATCAGATTTGCTGAGAGCACAAAGGTGGAGGGGAACAAAACCCAGGAAGAGAGAGCTAAAACTGTAAAGCAACCTGGAGAGATGAGAGCAGTGAGGTCTTGACAGAACAGAGAGCCTCAGTATAAGTAAATGTCATGTCCTACACCCAACGCGAGGAAATCAGCAGCATGGATTCAAGGAGCCACACCCGTTGCATTAATCGCCCTCCTGTTTCCTAGTGTCACTTTCTAAGCACTAGAAGGTGTGGGGTTCAGAGGAGACGTATCCACAAGAGGATCTCTTCATTGAGTAGTCCACAATCTGACCATGTTGGAGCACTGTGACTCCATCTTATTTCCTTGTAGGCAGTCGTGACCTATTGTGCCATTGATGTGCTGCTCTTGTTCTTTGCCGAATGTATAGAGCTCAGTCTCTTTGTTTGGCCTGTTCCGGGTCGCTCTTTGGATGCGTTTATTGATGGTATGACAGCATCACAAGCTATAGACTTGATCTCTCCCTCTCGTGTTCCTCTTCCTCACCCCCTCCCTCTGAGCCCCCT